TGTATCATGGAACACCAGGTTATTAGAACAAAATGTCCTAGCGTTGAGGGAGTACTGGAGTAGAGGCCCAATGTCCATCTGCTGCCTTAATACTTAACATATAACTATATGTACATAGATCTATTTCCCTATCATTATATATTCTATGCCCTCCTAGCCGTCAATTTGGATCACCTGTAATCTGAATGGAAGCAGATCACCAGACCTTTCCTTCCTTGGTACCATTGGGTGGCTTGAACTGCCAACCTTTCAGTGTGCATGGCACAAATGTCTTGTGCCACCTCCCTGAGCGTTCAAACAATACAAACTCATTGTCATCATAGTGACCCTCCAGGACAGGGTGAAACTGTGCCAGTGGATTTCCCAGACTGTACCCCTTTACAGGAATAGAAAGCATCGTTCTCTGAGCAGCTGGGCCTTTAACAGCCCACCATGCTGCCAGGGATCCTCTGAGCACCCCAAAACCAAATCCACTGCTACAGAGGCGATGCCAACTCATAGTGACTCGTCAAGGCAGGGTAGAACTCCCCTGTGAGTTTCCAAGCCTGTAACGCTCTGGGGGAGGAGCAAGCCCATCATTCTCCTGGGGAGCTGGTGGTTTTGAACTGCTGACCTTGTCCTTAGCAGCCCAACACAACTCACCCCACCGACTTTTCCTTCACCGCCCCACCCTCACAGGAACCCTCCTTGGGACAAATGTCTGACCTCCACCCTAGTGGTGGCCAAGTCCTCCTGATGCCTGGCTTCTTTGTGCTTCCACCACCCCCACCTCCCGCTGTGGACCTGCTCCTCATCCTCCCTCAAGCACTGGAAGCTTCGACAGCCTTTGCCCAGGAGCCTCCCGCTGGCCGCTCTGTGAGCCAGCGCCCACTCCTGGCGCAGCCGGCCCAGCCCTGCACCAGCCGGCGCCCCAGTAAAACTGCCGTGCCAAGCACTGAATGCGTTTGAAATGGTTTTGAGGGTTTTTTGGTTTGTTTTTGTTTTCTTTTGTTTTTTGGAAAAGAGTTGGGCGAAGGCAGGCGCGGCGGTCTTGCAAAGGTCATCCTAGATAGAAATACTGTTCTCGATCAGCAAGGGGTCCAGGTAGTAATAGGGGACCGGGAGGCACTTGTTGCGCTGGCGTATGTTGAAGGAGATCTGGTTCAAGCGCTGGCGCAGGGTCTCCATGCTCCTGCGGGGCGCATCCTCCACGAAGTGGATGTCGGGGAAGTGGCCCAAGGGCCGCTGGGGGGGATGGAACAGGGAGATGAGCCAGGGCCACCCCAACCTTCCTGGCCCGCCAGGCAGCCTACACCCCCCACCCCCTTTCGGCAGCCCCTTTCCCTGCTTCCAGCTCTCAGCATGACAGCTCCATCCCAGACCCAGCAGCTCCTGGCTGCACGAGAGCTCACCAGGCTCTGCATCCCTGCCCGCCGCACCCCATCGCCCCAGGCACCTTATCATCAGGTTCCCGACTGAGAGTCCAGAGTACCAAGAGGATGATGCACGTGGTCTTCACATCCGGCAGCGTGTCCATGAAGACCTCCTCAGTGGTCAGCCCCTTGGCCTGCATGGGCGGGTTCCTCATGGACGAGGGGAAGTTGGGCATCCAGCAGGTGTACTCCAGCTGCGGGTAGAGCAGGAGGCGGGTGCCGGGTCATAGCGCCCCCAGGCTGGGCCACACTCACCCCATGCATTTGTGACTTGGACCCCTGCTGGAGCCGGCTGAGGCTGGGCTGGGTTTGGAGTCCAGTTGGCGATGGCAGGGGCTGCGCTGAGATTAGGGCTGGGGCTGGGTGGGGCAGTGGAAGTGGGGTAGGGTCTGGGCTGGGCTGGGCCTGGGACTTGGGACCCAGATTGGGGCTAGACTAGGGATTGCAGTGGAAGTCGGTTTCAGGGAGCCTGGGGTTGAAGCTGCGACTTGGCTGAGACCGGTTGGCACTAGACTTGGGGTTGTGGGTGAGGTTGGGTGTGAGGTCGTGACTGGCAGCGAGGTGAGCATGGGTACCTGCCCTGTGTTGACAGCCGCGTGCTTGGCGGAGCAGGTGTAAATGACGATGGTGACATACCGGATCAGTTCAGGTACTGTGCGCAAGCAGGTGGGAAAGCCTAAGGGGCAGGGGATGCCCAAGAACCATCAGTCCAGCTCTGGTCCTGGCTGCCCAGCAGGGGGCATGGCCAAGCCCAGCTCACCTGGTCTTGCCAAGGCTCCAAGCTGCCACATCCATGCTGTCACCCTGCCTGCTTGGCCCTCCTGGTCACAACTCCTACCCCTAATCCAAGGCGTAGCCTCCAGGAGAAGATCCGACTGGTCTCTCCGGCCTCTCCTGGGAGGGCCCTTGGATGCCTCCTCCAGCTCACCCAGGGGGCTCCCTGGTCCCAGGTCTGGGGAAAGTTCTAGAAGGGCTTCCCTCTATGACAGTGGTTCTTAACCTTCCTAATGCCGAGACCCTTTAATACAGTTCCTCATGTTGTGGTGACCGCCCCCCTATCCATAAAATTATTTTCGTTGTTGCTTCTTCCTGTCATTTTGCTACTGTGATGAATCAGGCGAACCCTGTGAAAGGGTCGTTCAACCCCCAAAGGGGTCACAACCCACATGTTGAGAACCGCTGCTCTATGGGAAGAATCCTGGCTTTCCTGCTCCGTCCACTCCCCCCTCTCCCCACTTCTTGGGAAACTCTGGTCACTTCAAGTCGACTTCTCAGCAGCTGGGCCCTGGCTCTCATACCTCCTCCCTAACAGAGCTACTCGTCTCTTCCCTGCTGTCTCTCAAGAGAGGCTTGGTTGCCATGGTGACCCCAATTCTGCAAAATGAACTCAAAGTGTCTTCCTCCCAAATCAACCCTTCCTCAAGGCCTCCCAGTTCAGGGAAAGAGACACTTCCCACCCCCACCCCCTGTTGTGAAGACCCAAAGCCTGAGCCTTCCTCCCTCCCTTGCCTTACTCTATGTGGGAAACGGACACGGAGGGAAATATGACTGGGACTTATTCCCTGACTTATAACAGAGAGAATCTGAAAAGCTAGTAATCCATCGTAGGAAAGCCACCACTTTGGTAAATTAGAGATGAAGTTCAAGTACATGATCCTGCTTTACATATCACTCCCACAGATTCTCCCCTAACAGCTCTGCTGCCTTAAAGTGAGCACCTGGTGGATTGTGTCTCCCTATAGAAGCAGACATTCTTGTTATCTCCTCTTGCCTCAGCACCCATTCCCCCCGCCCCCCAGCCTTCCCCCAATGCAGGTGTTAGGTTCCTCACCTGTGAGCTCAGGGACTTTACTGTGGTTCCCGTCCACCTTGTGACGTATGTAAATCCTGAATATGCATGCCTAATGGCTGCCTATAAATATCCCAAGACAGTAAAGACTCCCTCTCTCTCCTCCCACCTCCACGTGGACCACCCAGCGGGGCTGAGGTCACCATGAAATCTGTCTGACTCCTTTATTTGATTCTCTCTATCTCCTATGACTTCACTATAACCTTCAGATATTATCACCGTACACTTGCGCCGACGGGCCCTTCCGTTGTTAGAGGCTGGTCTCCTCTGACAACTCTCCATTTCTAGAATCCTCTATCCTGCCCCCTCTAGCTCCCAAGCAGCTTGTGAGTCCTCTTCATGCCCATGACTAGTCAAACCCCTGTCCCCCCCTTCCCTCTGTAACACCACCCTGGCTCCCCAAGAGGTCTTCGGGGTCAGGTACAGACTGCTAAGTCCATGGGCCTCCTGGGGGTCATTCCAAATTCTGACTCCACCAAGCCTTGCCCAGGCCGCAGCCTCAGCCTTGCCAGCAGCCTGCTCGACTCCCAGAGGAAGGAAGGTGCGGTACGGACTGTGACCAGATCCCTGGATTCGCCATGTCTACTAGGCTTCACGGCCTCTCCTCATGCTGCTCCCCCTCAGCACACTTCCCAAGCCCCCCGCCTGGGGTCTAACAGCCCCTTCCTGAAGATGTTAGCTGGAGCTCAGTTTGGGATTCCCTGGGCTCTTACAGCCTACTCTTCAGGCTTCCCCGACACAATCCTTGGGCCATGACACGACCTCGTTGAGCACACAATATGACAATGTCCAGCCTAGGAGGACCCTGGGGCCCTGTGGCAGTGCTGTCCTGGCTGGGTGTCCCGATGTCCAGGCACATACCTGAGCTCTCGCGTCCCAGCATGCACTCCTTGAATATCTCCTGCACCCAGCACTGCAATTCCAGGTCACCCTCCACAGCGGCGTCACTCGGGTAATAGTAGGTGATGATCTCTGTCACATACCTGAGCAGGGGGTGGAGCCTCAGTTTGGACCCTCCCTCAGCCTTTCCCAGCCTTGCTTCACCTACCTTCCCCCAGGATGCCCTGGTCTTGCTCAGGGTGGGTGGGCAAGGCCTTTGGGGCAGAGGTGAAGAGAATGAATGGCCTGGCAAGGTCAGGAGGTACATAAAGCCCTCCCCATGTAAGGATGAAGGGAGGTGCACAGAGGGCTAGCGGAGGTGGGCTGGGGGCTCAAGCAAGGCAGGGCCCAGCAGGCTTCCTAAGCTATATCAGAGCTTGAGAGTGCATGTGACAGTCACAAAAGACCCCAGACCTGTCCCTGAGGCCATACCCCTATGGCACCTACCCAAGCACAGGTCCCTCCAAGTTCCTCTCCACCTCTCTGAACTTCCGGGATTAACACCTTGAGTGCTAGTCACTGTTGTCCCCAACTTACCTTTCCAGGGCATCCCACACTGCCAAACAGTCGTCACGGTAGTAATACTGGGGCAGGTCCTGGACCCCACGCTCCACAAAGTCATTGGGCAGGTAGAGGCTCTCGTAGGTGATCTGTGACAGGGCTCGAACCATCACCTCAGCAAAGCCCTCCAGGCCCAGGGACGTGCCCTATTCAGGGGAAGGCAGAACCTGGGGCAAATCCTCCTCTCCAGGGGTCCCGCCTACCTCAGATCCCCACCACCACACTCAGAGCCAAGTGAGTGTTCCTCTAACCCCAGGCCCCCTGATCCCAGTCCCCAGGAGACCTGGCACTCCATACCGCCCCCCGCCAGGCTCCCTCTCTGGGCCTTCTGGACAGAGCCCTCATCTTAACCACTCTCCTCCCTTCACCCCTACAGGCAAATGGGAAGTCCTGCTTGGAGTCTAACTGCAAACACAGGGCAGAAGGAACTCGAAGGTCTAGTCAGGGTGAGAATGGAGGCCTTACCCTGGCCGAGAGTCCCCCCTCGTTGAGGAGGAGGGCACGCCCAATGCTGTTGATCTGGATGGTGAATCGGGTGTGGGGGATAAGGAGCTGTGAGGAGGAAGCAGGGGGGGTGGATAATGAGGGCACCCTGAAGTTGCCCTCCAAAAGGAGTTCAGCACTTCTGTGTCTACAGCACCAGCTTCTGTCACATCTGAAAAAACCCCTCAGGAAGCCCTGGCTGTGAGTCCCCAGTTGGCTCCTCAGGTCTAACAGGGGTTCCTCACTCTGCTGGGGGAGGGCAGTAATCCCTGCCAGACACGCCTCCCCCCAAGCCCATACCTTATAGAGGGGGTGGCACATGGGGAGCTGCCGAATCAAGGCCAGGCAGAAGGCCTCCGCCATGAGGTGGGTCTCCAGCAGGTGGGAGATGGCCTCGTGGCTGTAGAACTCGGCGTTGCGCACCCACGTCTTGGCCAGCAGCCAGTCCCACTCGCAGTCACTGGGCAGGAAGATGGGGCAGTCAGGCCCAGGAGTCTGGCTGAGCTGGGGGTCAGAAAGAAGGGGGGGGGGTGTTACAGGCCCGGCGGAGATCCACACACAGGGCCAGCCGCTGCTGGAGGGAGCAGAGGGTAGTCTGAGGAGACGGACACCACCCCTTTGCCCATCTGTCCTCGGCGCACCCCGAAGCCTTTCTGCCCTCACACAGTCACTGTGCCTGTAACACCTTCCACTACTTGTTCCCACTCCCACGCAGCCCACCTCCCAAACTGCCTTTTGTGAGAAGTCTTTCCGATCTCACCCCCAAAGCCACCATTCGGATGTGCAGGGGGCACGCTGCACAACTAACCAGCCAGGAGCCTTGGGCTTTGACTGCTCCCTCCCCTCCCCCACCCCCTGCAGGGGTGACCTTGGTCTCATTCTCACCTGCCTTTTCAGCCCCTTGGGCTCCCTCACCTTCCAGACCAGTCTCCCAAGGTGGCGGCTAAGTCCGATGAGCTCTGTTCCTAACACAAACCTCCCAGGGGCTGGCGTATCCAAGAGAGGGAAGGACGCTGCCAAGGAGCCAAGCTCCCACCACCAAGCACATCCGCACCTGTTCAGTCTACACCTGTGCACACGGGGGCTGCTCAGGGCCCACAGTCACACACTGGGACCCAGGGACACTTACTCCATGGCTTGCAGTGGGCTATCCACCTGGGGACATGTGGCTTCCATGCAGGAGTCTCCATGGAGAGTGGCCAGGTCATACCGCCTGTGCCCTCCACCCCTCGCCCGACAGGGAACAGACACGCAGAAACACACAGAAAACCTGCACACTCCTTGCCTGGGGCGCACATGCAGGCACACACACAAATGCCCCAGGCGAGGACACACAGGTACCCAGGCCCCACTCAGATGCACATGCCAAGAGGCCCCTGAGCAGCCCGCCCCTGGGCACCTGGATGGCAATGGGCATCATTCTGCATTCAGGGTCCAGGTAGAGCAGGCACAGGGGTGCGCACTGGTGCTGCTTCTGACCGTTGAGCTCCACGGTGGGGATGCCCTCCAAGATGCGGTAGTCTGCCAGGTAAATGTTCCCCCTCTGAAAGGGAGGCATCATGGGCAGGCAGGTAGGCATCCAACACTGAGCACCTGTGATCCACCCAACGATGGGATGGGGAGGTAAAGCATGAGGGTGGGGGCCCCCTGCAGGGTGGAAGAAGGGGCTGGGATGGGGAGGTAAGGGTATGGGGGTGGGGGACCCCCTGCAGGGTGGAAGAAGGGGCCTGCCAAAGAGGGAGGCAGGGAGGGGGAAGGAGAGTCTCACCTCCAGCTCAGCCTGCAGGCAGGTGCCTTCGGCCAGGAATGGCGCCACCATGTCATCTGTGACGGGGAACTTGTCTGGGATCCGCGTACAGCGGCGGATCACCGTTGGGTTGATGCCATTAAGGTACTGGTACCCGAAAAAGCTGTCCTCTGCCCAGTGCTCGGCTACGTACTCTGGAGGGGCGGCGCGGAAGGGTCATAACCCGAGAGACAAGGACCAGAGGCCCCGGGCCCCAGGAAACAAGGGGCACCCAAGAGGCCTCTGGGAATGGTAACACGAACCCCAAACCTTCCCTGGCGGAGCCCGCGTGGCCCAGGGCGACGTTTTCCAGGTGACCGCCAGAGGGCGCGCCCACCTAATTCGCCAAAACCTTCCCCCAACACCACCTACCTGGTCCCACAGCCCCAGGTGGCCCTCCTGCCCCTCCACCGCGCAGCCGTCCTCCCGCCAGGGACCACCTGACGCTCCCAAGCTCGACTCGACTCGGAATGCCCCACCCCATACCAGAGGTGACAGTCTTGTTGGCAGGGAAAATTTTCCTAATATCCTTCAGTTTCTTCCATGAACGTTTGCAATCCACCAGGCCGCGGACCTTGAATGAAAGAGCCCTAGGAGACGGGGGGCGCGGGGGGCGTGTCAGAGGCTGCCTGGAGCCCTTGACCAAGCGTCCCCGCCCCCGTTAGGCGCCTGAGTCTCAGGGTCTCCGTCTATGTCTCTGGATCTCAGGGTCTCTGGGTCCCTGGCTCCAGGTCTCTGGGTCTGCAGGTTCTTGGGTCTCCTAGCTTTGTACCCCTAGGCCTTTTCAGCCTACTGGACCTTCTGGGGCGGTGGAGGTGGGGATGGAGCCGAGGGAGGGGAGCGGGGGGCCTGGGCTTCTGGATGGCAGGGACTCACTGGGGCCCCAGGCGCATGAAGAAGGAGGCCGTCTTGATGACGGAGAAGCGCAGATTGGAGTTGAGGAACTTGGTGGCCTTAATGTTGATGAGGATGGGAAATCCCGGAATGTAGCCGTTCCACCTGTAGGGAAGAAGGCGGGGCTGGGGCCGGGCACGAGGGGTGGGGGCCTGGGCGCCCACGGTGGGGGAAGCCCGAGAGGGGTGGGGGTGGGGGGCTTCCTCGTGCCGGTTGGGGTTGCGGAGAGGGGTGTGGGGGCGCTTACTCGGGCCGGTTGGGGTTGCGGAGCCGCCGCACGGGAGGGCGGTAACTGGGGATGTGTACATAGTTGGGCAGGCCGGCAACGAAGACCCTCCAGCTGCGGAGAGAAGCAGTCTGAGGACCTGCACGCCGGGCGGCACCGCGCCGGACCCCACCCCGCACCCACGACCCTCCTGCCCTCCCCCTCACTGGTAGAGCTCCTGCTTGGCCCTGATCTCCTCCTTTCGGTGGGCGAGGAGAATGGGCAGCGTGTCCTCCGCGGCGGTCTTTCCTGGGGTGGGGGGGAGACAGGCAAAAGGCGGCTCAAGGGCTGAGCCCCACCCCCACCCCCTAGCCTGCCCCGCCCACTCCAGAGAGACCCCTCCTCCTCCTCCCAGGTCAGCCCTGGCGGGCCCCGGCTGAAGGTGCGTCTCCCCACAAACTAAAAATAACTCATCCCAAAGCACTGCTATCTCCAACGCTTTGGGCTAAAGGTGGTGAACTATGCTCCCATTTTTACGAGGGGTTGGGGCGGGAACCAGGCGGCAGGATTCGAACCAAGGGAGATCAGCTTCTGAGTTAGCTCCCGGAGCTCCCAGCGAAACCACACCGAGGCGATTCGGACTCAGGGGGGTTCTGAGACCGTAACTCTTCTGGGAGTGGAAAGCCCTGGCTTTCTCGCACGGGTGGCCGGGGGTTTCGAGATCAGCAGTTCGCAGCCCAAGGCATGACCACGGTGCCTCCAGGGCTCCCCTTGAATGACCCCGCGGTCACGGATGAAACATGCGACCTCCAGGGAGTAGATTTCAGCTCCTGGCAAGCCCAGCCCGTGGTGCGGAGCAGCGGCGGCGGAAGCGGGCCCACAGGGTTGTCTGAGGTCTCTTGTTTGGTGGGTGATAGAACACCAGCTTTGGGGGTTCCCAAGGTCTCCCGGACCTGACACCATTGATTGAGCCTTCTCGAAACCCTTTTGAGGAGCCCGGGGGAGTGGGGGGGTTGGAGGGGTGCTGTGGGCTGGTGGTGGTTGGTGGTTCGAAGCCCCAAGCCACTTCCTCCGGAGAAAGATGAGGCTGGACGCCTCTCTGAAAGCCTCTCTCTAGCACCATGAGACTTGCTGGCAGTGCATTTGGCTTGGGAAATTCCTTGTAAACGTCACCTCATGGCATCCTCACATCCATTCGCTGGTTAACTCCATTTTACAGAGGAGGAGACCCAAGCTTAAAGTGTCGCAGGCCCTGTCCGGCCCCACGGTTTCCACTCATGGCCATCCTCTGCCTCAGCCCGTGCGTTGTGGGTGAGTGAGGCCCCCATGGAGTTGTGCAACACACAAACCCAGCTTCGTTTCATCCCCAGGGCGGGAGTCTCACTCCTTCGAGGGCCCAGTGACTCAAGTCTCCTGCCCCTGTGTTGCATGGCAGCTGCCCCACCCACCCAACCCCATTCCTGCGTGGCCACCCAGCGTCATCCTGCTGGTCCCCTGCGTCCACGGCCTTCAGCCCCATGGCCGTGAGAGGAGACACTCCTTCGCCAGTGACCCCCTGGTCTTCCAGCCCCACCCTGTCCCAGGTCAGCTTCCTTCTGCCCCTTGCCTCTCCCTGGGCTGGGACTTTCCAGAGAAGGCTCTGGTCACAGGGCAATGACACCTGGGAGGAGAGCTTAGATGCAGGTAATGGGTGCCACGGCTCCTGGGGCCTCCTCTCACTCACCTCCAGGTGAGATGGGTGGTGGTGGGAAAAGCAAGGATGGGCCTCCAGCGGAGGACAGACCCATGTAGAGCCACATAGTGGGAAGGTGACCACGTCACCCCCGAGAAAAGCTGCCCAGGAACCCAAGCCCTTTCCCATAGGAGCCAAGCAAGCTCTTGGAAACCCTCCAGGAAGCTACCACAGAGCAAAGCCAAGCTAACAGTTTGTATCAGTAACAGGACATCCTACTGGACTGGGACTGATTTTCAGTAGATCTACTGACTCGTTTTGGAGTACGTGAAAGGAGCCCCACTGGGGCAGTGGGTTACAAGTTGGGCTGCTAATCACAAGGTCAGGAGTTCAAACCTACCAGTTACTCTGGGGAGAGAAAGATGAGGCTGTGTGCTGCCGTAATTGGAGACCCTGAAGGAGGGGTTCTACTCCATCCCAGAGATCCCTGGCTGGTTGCTTGGTTTGATTTGGGAGTAAAGAAGTCCCTGGGTGGTGTACTGGTTATCCTACTTGGCTGCTAATCAAAAGGCTGGCTGTTTATGACCACCCAAAGGTACCTCAGAAGAAAAGCCTGACAATCCACTTCCAAAGCACAGACACCTTGAACACCTTCGTGGAGCACAACTTTACTGTGACGCATATGGGGTCACCATCACCATCACTCGAAATCAACTCATCTACACCTGGGCTTTCGGGGGGTGGGGTGGGGGGTTGGTTTTGTTTTTCAGAGTAATCCCAGTTTAAGAAATACGGTGTCCTACCCCAGTCACAAGGAACACTTCTGGACTAATAAAGCATCCCTTCCATCTAAAATATACTCAACGAGAAAGCCAAGACATCCTGAGAATGTCTGAGACCCCTCCTAGAGCATCATGAGGAACTGTTGAAATCCCAGGGCTTCCTGAGATGGGGCTTTCTACTGCCGTCAACCAGCGACAGTCTCAGAAGCCCATAGGGGCAGCTCTCCCCTGTCCTGGAGGGTCACTATGAGTCGGGAAGGGCTCGGTGGCAGGGGGAGAATGAAAGGCATCATTTGGAATGATGGGGCATCCCAGGAGATGAACGGGGCCTCCTGGGGTGCTAACAGAGTCCTATTGGAGTGCTACGGCATCTTGTCTGAGTAACGGGGCATTTTATCAGAGTCTTGCACCTACAGGACAAGAGAGACCCTGAGAGCGGCCAGGCAGGGCACCCTGTGGGCATCCAGCGGAGGAGGGGTGTACAAACAAGAGTGAACTCTTGAACCCCTGTCCAGCCAGCTGCTGGGGTCCCAAGAGCAGCCCTGAACCTCCAGTTTCCAACCCTCGTGAGAGCGGCAGGACTTGTGGAGACCCCTGGTGGCACTGTCACCTGGAGAGCCCGGAGGGTTGACAGCGGGTTATCCAGGCCTTTCTCCCTTGTGTCTGGCTGTGTGTCTGTGGGGGTGGGGGTGGGAGGTGGGTGTTAACCCCAGAAGATGGCGGCTGGAGCGGCAAAGCCTACCAGTATGGAGGGGGTGAGGGCTCACCTGTGGCCTCCCGGAGCGCCAAGGTCTCGTAGCCATCCATCCACTGGTAGGCAGGGAAGTGAAAGATGCGGCCGTTGGGGGCGCAGATCTGCACGTAGTTGCAATACCAGGAGTTCTTGGGGAAGAAGGAGCGCTCCTTGAACAGGCGGATGAGGATGAGCTCGCCCAGGTCCTGCTGGCAGTGCACAGTGTACTTGTCCACCTGGGCAGGGCACAGGGGTGGCTGAGAGAACAGGACTGAACCCTGGCTCTGTGGGCACCCACTAGCCTGGCCCCTCACCCAGGCCCTGCTCACCTAGGTGACTGATGCGCATCTCCTACTTGGAGACTGATGGTCTCCAAGTGGACGGGGGACTGGGAGGTAGGTCATTGAGAAGATGACTTCTGGCCCCTCCAGCCTGGATGTCCCCTGCTGGGCTCATCCACCCAGGGTTGGGCAGGACCCCAGCTGCCTTTCTCCTCTACTTTCTCATCTCCAGAGAACACAGGCTCTCCCCTACTCCCTCCTCAACCACCCGAGGCAGCAATGCTGTGCAGTCCCCCAAGAGGCAGGTGTCTGAAGGGATACCGGTGGGTTTCAAAGCCCCCTGAATGTTCTGGACTCATCAGCTCGGGAGAGGTGATCCAGCCAGCCCCATTGATCCAGGAAGATGTTGAGCCTCAGAAGAGGCCTTCGGTGGCCAGAATGACCCATTCAGAGACCGCACAACAACAGGGGGCTGGGCCTGACTGCAGATCAGGACACAGAGTCCAGCCAAGGATGCCTCCCATCCCAGAGCAGGCTGGTCCCCACTGGCCAGGCTGGTCTAATGCCATTGTAAGTCACAGAGAATCCAATGCAAATGTCAGCCAGGTGTGATGTAACTTAATTTAGCAAGAGTCAGAGTGACCCGAGAGAGATGGCGAGGGGAGAGAGGGTGGAGGAGGAGGGATGGGGGAGAGGAAGAGGACAGGGGATGAGGGAGAGAGAGAGAAGCGCTGAGAAAGGGGCCGGAGGAGAGGTGAAGAATGGCTGAGAAGAGGTGAGAGAGGGTCTTGGAGACCCCAGAGTGGGAAGGGGGATAAGGAGCCAGATCTGGGGTGAGGGGTGTCCCCCTGGGACTCTGCTGTGCCCAGGCCTCTCCAGTCTGTCCTGGCCATGATCTGGGCCTCAGGTCCTTGCACACACACCCCGTACCCCCCACACGCGTGTGCACACACACACACACACACACTCACCGCCCCAGTTGCAAAGTCTCTTCCGAAATGGTTCAGGCGTTGCTTGTGACTCTCTCCCTCGGTCCCCACAATGATCAGCGCGATGGAGTCCAGTGTCCCCGACATGAGGTCACTGCCCGTGGCCACCCTGACTTTGTAGGTGGCCATGGCTATTCTTAAGGATGCAGTGTGGGGCTCAATCCCGGACACTGTTGGGGAGCCACACTGGGGCCCAAGCCAGGCCAGACGCAGAGCAGCGGACGGGCCAGCCTCCCAGAGTGGAGTGGCACACGCACGCACGCGGGTGACAGCCTACAGCCGGGGGAAGTTGCTGCCCTGGCTGGCTTTGAGCAGAGGCAGGCAGGCAGGCGGGGCGGGACCAGTCGTGGTGGTGGAGTGACCGAGTCTGGGTTCCAAAACCTCTGGGAGCTGGCAGGGAGGCTGCAGCTCACACGCAGGGTGCTGGACCGGCCTCTGAGAGGGCGGAGAGAGATGCCTAGGATGAAGGTGTCTTCAGGGTGGGGAAGCCAGTCCATCCTGAGCCAGGGCCCCAGGGACGTTGGGGGAGGGGACTGGGCAGGGCCTCCAGATCTTTATCAGCCTAATAAGCTCTTTCTTCTTGCCCACCCCTGTTGGCTATACCTATGGCTCCCCAGCTAAACAGGGCCATAGGCTAGGGGTGACCTGCATTGGTTCCAGGGGCCCTAATGGGTGGGAGTTGGGGGAGGAGTGGCACAAACTTGCTCTCAGGGTGGCCTGTGCCTGGCCATAGTGGCTTTAGCAGAACGCTGGTTTGTCTTTTTGCCCCAGGGCCCAGAGACTGCGAGAGGGAGGGTAGTGGTCTCAGGCTGAGAGACCCCCAAGAAAAAAACCAACAAGCAACCTCCCTGCCATCCAGTCCACTCTGACTTCCAGTGAGTGACCCCACAGGGCAAGGTGCAGCTGCTCCACTCTTAGTGGGAGTAGAAAATCTCATCTTCCCCCCTCAGGACGGGTGGTGGTTTTGAACTGCTGACCTTATGATTAGCAGCCCAGCCCATAACTGCTGGGCCACCCAGACTCCTTAGAGACCACATAAATGCTAGGAAACTTGGGAGACTGCTTCTTGTAGGAACAAGAGCCAGCTAAGGAAGTCTCGGGATTGAGGACAGGCTCAGGAGACAATTGGGGTGAAATCGGAAGGATAGGCTAACTCGAGTGGATGTGTCTGAAACCAGGTAACATGGATGGATCTTACAAACATGCTGAGAGGAACAAGGCAACCCTGAAAAACTAAGTGTTGTATGATTACACTTAATATGGAATACCCAGAATCAGCCAATGTATAGAGACGTCGTATGTCTATTGCTTACAGAGGGGTAGAAGGGAAGGAGAAAGAGGGGAGTATTGCTTACAGAGCACTGGTTTTTTTGTGGTTTTTTATTAAGGGTGATGGAAAAATCTGGAAATGAATAATAGTAACAGTTGCACAACACGACGATCAAAGTTAATGTCACTGAATTAGACATAAAACATGCTGCAATGGCAAGCGTTTACCACATATATATGGACCACATTAAAAAAGAATGGATAGATAAGGTGTGGTCTGTTCATACAATAGAATTCTACCCAACAGTTTTTAAAATGCAAGCTAGACCAGGGGCAAAGTTCACCAAGATTCAATTGTGTGAAAGAAGCCAGACACAAAAGAGCTCATGCTCAATGACCCCATTCATCTGAGGGTCGACACCAGGCTGAGCTAAGCAACCCTTATAAAAGTCAGCACACTAGGGCAATGGGTATAAGCCGGTGTGAGCGGAGTGGAGCTGTAGGGCCAATTCTGCCTCGTGGCTATCTTCTCTGATCAAGTAGAGCTGCCTCATAGAGTTTCCTAGACTGACATGATTACAGGGACAAATCGCCATGTCACTGCTCCAGCTGAATAGCTGGTGGGTTTGCCCACGGTGGTGGTACAGAGAGTCCTTTATAAGTTTTACGGTATCAACGTTGTCCTTAATTTTCATGAAGTACACCCAAACCCCAAGTGGGGGGAAAGGAAGAAGTTACGAAGAGGATTTGAGGTGAAGTTAGGCGCTGGTTCGGCTCCACTGGAGGTGAATTTGCTGGCAAGCGGAAGCAAAGCGATGCTGGGAGTTTGGGAAATAAACCTGGAGTGGGTTGGGGGTGGGGGAGCAAGCTTCTGGGAGAAACACAGAAGCCAGAGGAGCAAGGGAGAGTCCTGGGATGGGCTGGAGGTGAGGAGCAGGGAGGCGTGAGGGCCCCAGTCAGGCTATCAGCAGAGAGCGTTGGGGACCCAGGGAGAGTGAGGAGAGAGTCACGTTCCTGTCCCGTGGTGCTGGCCCTGCCCTCCCTCCTCCCTCCCTCCTCCCTCCCCCTTCCCTCCCTCCTCCCAGGGGCAAACTCCTGCCAAGCAGGACGCATCAAACCACATTTCCTCCCTGGTGGCACCATGGAGGGAAGGTCACAGTGTCTCAGGCCACATGGGGGCCAAAGGGTCTCCGAGATAAAGAAAAGATTCCAGTAGGTTCCTAGCTGGATTGGGTGATGGATGGGGACCAGATGGCGATTGGGAATAGGGTAGTGGATGGAGTGAGGATTCAGCGGATCTTCTCAGGTCTCAATCTGCTCACATCAGCTGGGAATAAAACTTGGCAGTGGCTCCTTGTTGCCTTGGGAATAAAGACAGCACCCACACTTTCCCATGGACTTACTACCTCAGCGGCCTCACCCACCACCACGTCTACCCCTGACTCTCTTCTGCCTTTCATGAATCCATCCAGGGACACTGAGTACAGGAGCCCCTACCATATGGTGGGCACCGAGGGAGGCCCAGAAACTATCACATACCCATTGCAAACCTCTGTCCTCATAGAGTTTACAGTCTAGTGAGAGAAACAGACCATCTTACCTTGGGATCACGCCAACGAGGTAGCACGTGACACTGTGATACAGCAGGGAGGAGGGTGGGATGCACAGGGAGTACACTTTAGCCACAGCAGCGTGGCCAGGAAAGGGCTCGGGGGGAAGGGGACCCTGGTGCAAACTCATTTAGGAAGCGAGGCCAGCATCTTCTTCCCACCACAGAACCTTGGCAGTCGCTGTCCCTGTACTGCCTCTCAGACCTGGTGAATCCCTGCTCTTCCTTCAGATCGTACCCCCAAAGCAGCTTTCCCAAGGACAAGCACATTCCGTTACGAATGGCTCTCATCGCGCTAGATCCGGGATGCCTGTCTCTCTCCCCCACTAGAGGAGACTGCTCTGGATTTCTTTTTTCTCCCCACTGCCTGGCCCAGCACCTGACAGGTGGTCCCTGAGTTGGTTAATTGTGCCAGCCTGGCCGATAATCACATGTGGGGCTAATTGAAAGGCAGAGGGATAAATGGGTGGTGAAGCCTCGCCTTTCTAGTTCTCGGGTCTCTTGTTTTGTGATGGTTGCACCGAGTGCAGCTGCCTTAGCAGTTCCCTGCTTCAGCTTGCAAGATTGACTTCCTACAAGACAGCCCCAAGGAGAAGCTACATGGACCTATCCCGATGCAGCCCTGGGTGCTGGAGCAGCCGTGTGGAGACCCTGCTAGTGCTGAGATGCTTGTTCGTTCACTGACTCAGCTTTCCTCCTGCAGTTGGCATTATTGCCTCTGTTTTGTGAGGTGGAGGACTTTGTGGACTGGTGTTGGGTTAATGGGTTAATGTTGGACTTGTGGGCTTGGGCAGCATTGGGTTGGGATGTTTTCGTGATGCACATTTTCTTTACATAAAACTCTCTCTTATACATGAGTCGCTGGGGATTTGTTTCTCCAAAGTACCTAGACTAATACAGTCCCCATGGTGGGCTGGGCTGAAGATGAGGACAGCATCGAGTGATGCTCCCAGGGATGAGACTAGAGTGAGGCTGAAGACTGGGGAGGAGAGTGAGAGTGGGGTCAGGGAGGGATGTGGAGGAGGGTGCTGGGGTAAGGAGATGGCGGGAGGAGTGAGGAGAAGGCTCTGGATGGGAATCAAGCCTACACCCCGATGATTGGCAGGGCACAGTCCTCTCCTGAGTCACCGGGGCTGGTCAAGCCTCCCCTCCTGGGCTCTGCTTAGCCACTCTCAAGCCTTCTCTGGGGATGCCCAGAGCCTGAAACACCTCTTGAGATGCAAATTCCATGCAAATGTCCCCTAAGACTGTCCCCACAGGGCTACTGAGTCACCTCCTGGTGAGGTACAGCGGGGTGGGGGGGTGCTGTGGTGTGGGCAAGGTGAGGCTCAGACAGAATTAGGATTTGGGGAAACTCCACCCCCAGGTCATTCTGGGACTCAGGGTCCAGGAGAAGTTGTGTGAGAGGCCCTCCCTTCGTCTTTTTTCTTTTTCATTGTCATTAGTGTTTAGGGGACAGTTTATACATTAGGGGCTTTTTCCCCATTCAATAATGTAGACACACTCTGTTTTATGACATCGACTGCAATCCCTCCAGGTAACAGGACTCCTTCCGCTTCCTGCCTGGTTCTCTTCCTGGTTCCCATCCCTCCTTCTTTCCTGCCTGCCTTTCCTGCCTTCTGAGCTTTAGTTTGGGCAGCCGCTACCTTTTGGGTCTCCTTTGGTCGATCCTGAGGAGTTCACACGAAGAAGAACCTATTCCCCAATGAGATTCACAAGCAGAGGGTTGGGATTCTGCCATGCAACGGATGTCTTGGATGTAGCCTTTCCCGTCATAGCTTGGCAAATCCCACCCCCACCCGAAAAGATTGTGTGGGATTATGCAAATAAGGTGCTGGTGGCCCCAACAAGGGGATTGGACAACTTGCTCATAATCCAAACAGGGGAAGCATGCAGCACTGTGGGGGGCTGGAGCTCTCCTGAGGGGGCTGGTCAGGTTTGCCATCAAGAAAAGTTTAACCACAGGAGCCATCTCAGAGGTGGGAAAAGGGGGCCTCGCTATTCCAAGACAGCTCTATTGCCTGGCTGACAGTTGATCCCCAGGAAGGGTTCCGTTTCAAGCTTGAAGGGTGTCTAAGGGCCAGAGTCTCTTGGGGGGTTCCACTATTCTCTTTGAGACCCAGGAAGACCAGTCTTTTATATGCTTCTGAATTTTGTTCTACATTTCTGCTCTCCTCCGCCCCACCCCGTCCTCTGTCCACTATTTCTGCTGTCCTCCTGACCAGCGCTGTCAGTGGTGGGAGGTGGGCAC